TCAATTGCTTTAGATTTCAGTTTTACAATTCAACCCCCCCTTCTTGTGTTTTTCACCCCTTCATTGTTTATATCACTACAAGGATTGACAAGAGCCTAATCTTTTGAGAAAAGTTTTAAAGATAAGAGCCAAAATGGAAAAATGGTTTGAATGAGATTGATTGACTTTTAGTCTTCTCACAAAAATGTCAAGGTATTATTAAGTTGATTGGAGTTTATTTATGAAAATGTTTTTGAAAATGCATGGACCTAAGTCCAAGTTTATTATGAAAATGGTTCAAGTTAAAAAACAAGAAGAGTTTTCAAAAGGAGGGAGAAGATTTTTTGAAATTTAAGGAGATGGGAGGAGAAGAAGAGGCTATCCTAAAGCATAAGGTAAAAGCTAGGGATAAGAATCATCTAACCAACAAGAATCTAATACTTGACATTATGAGGCAAGATAGAATTCTCATTCTTTGGATTGAAACCAAGCAAGCAAAGATACTAGACCTCTTGTGAGAACCAAACTTCAAGTGTATTAAGTCTTCATAAAAAATTGGGCAGAGTAACGATTGTATACGGGTGATTTCCAGATTACAAACAAAGGATGTAATCACAATAACCTTCATACAAAACAAATAAACAACCCAATGTCTTGAGGTAAACCTCAAGAACTCCAGGAAAAATATCAATTAAGGTCCCAAGGTCTCCAACATAGGCCAAGGTTTCTCATCCTAAGTCCAAGGAGTCCAATACTCCATAATACCAAGGATAGTAACCAAATAGTCCAAGTATCATTAAAGTTTTTATGGTTCGTGTCGATTATTAGATTTCTTAGAAGAGAAAAGAAAAGGCTCAAGTGAGCAAAATAAAAATGACATGAAATGTAATGCTTAAAGTAAATGGTACATAAAGCATAAAAAATAAAAGAGTATAAAGTAAAAACAATTTAATAATTAGTGGTTAGTTAGATGACCATCTTGAGACTTGTATTTGGAACTCATTAGAGGATTGGTAGAACCAAAGCCTCCACACAACAAGTTGCATTTGCTTTTTGTCAAGTATATCATCCATTTGGAATCCTAAAAAGTACCATTTAATGATCAACGATGTTTAAGTGATCCACGTTGACCAAAAGTGTTGTAGATCCATTAGAGGATTGGTAGAACCAAAGCCTCCACACAATGAATCTCAAGGTTATTGGATCAAAGAGATCAAATTAACATACTTGGGCTTGCAAACATAGGTTTGGGCCACAAATAATCATTTATTCGAATCGGAACAAAATTTAGCGCCATGTTAAGCAATCGTAAGTGGACTTATGTAGAAGTCACACCTATTTTGAGGCCGGTCAATAGCAATCTATGCACCATTTGTTTTGAGACATGATATAGAGATCATGCTCCAATAACACTTAGTGAAATGAGAAAGGGATGAGATGAAAAGAGGTGGGAAAGAATATGCAAATCACATTTGAATTAAATTTAAATCAAACTATTATTAAAATTATTCATCCATTTTTGTGGATTTAGACTCAACACCATGGATCCAATGATGTTAACAAAGTTCATGACCAAAAATTTAATCCAAGATCAGCCAGAAAATAATCACAAAATAATATTGTATTTAATATATACATAAAAAGGGTTTTAAAAATGTTTTAAAATAGAAATAAAAGAGAGAAAAATCTGCTATGTTCAAATTAATCAAGAAAATAAAAGTAAGACCACAAAAATATCATAAATGAACTAAAATGATTTTATAAAATTTTTGGTAATTTTTAAAAGTCAGAAACTATTTTTAAAATTAAAAGAAATGATTAAAATAAACCAAAAATGATAAAAAATAACAAAGTCAGAAATAAAAAACAAATGAGGTCACCAATATTTGTCACAATATCATTGGATCATTCCATAATTTATTCAGAATTTTAAAATGCATAAATTTATTTTTAAACATTTAAAACAAATCAAATAAAGTGGAAATTGATAAAACAATATCAAAACACAAAATAAAATTGTGAAAAAAAATAAAAATCAGAAAGTGAAAAATCAAAAATATATTTCAGATTTTTTTCAGATTTTTTGACTAAAAATAAATTTTCTATGATTTTTTTAAAGTTAAAACAATTAAATATAAAAATCAGAAAAGAAAAATAAAGTCAAAAATATGTGGATCATTGGATCAGAGTCAAACCTCGTTAGTAATCAAATCCAAGGGATCTGGCACGTTGTGCATATCATGGTCATTAGTGAATAAAGCATTGAATCAAATGTAAATCCGAAATTCAAAAAAATCCAAATGGCGTTGTTTCATTGGTTGAAGGATGACACGTTGGTCATCTTCAACCTCCAGCGAGTCCCAAAACCAACCTGCTCAATCTGTAAAATTAGAGCACGAGACCTATGCCATTCACTCTGTCTCTTCAAGGCGAAGACAACCACACATTCGCGATAAATTTATATAAACTGTAGCTCAAGCAATTTGGAAAGAAAGTTTTGAAAAGGGATTTGAAATTTCATGGTCAAAACAAGTTTCCAGATAAAAGTAAGTGTTGCGACTAGAACCAGGGAAATGAGAGCATCACAATGATATCAAAGTTTTGAAGAATTGATGAAGGAATTTGTTGCACCCCAAAATTTTCCCTCCTAAATTTCTCTTATTCTGGTTTAGACTTTGCATTCATCTGCATCATTCTAATAGGTCATGTGTATAGCGCGCATTTTTCATAAAAAATGGATCACCTAAGGTTCAAAATACCAGCAGTTAGGGAGCTAGGGTTTATAGCTGATTTAAGGTGTATGTGTTGAAGGAGCCTGATTATTCAGGGTCTTCCTGGTGTATAAGACTGTGGAACTAGGGTTTTTGAGCATGCTCATTTTTGGACTTCTTCTCCACCAAGTTACAGGGCTAATATCTTATGATGAACAACTGGTTGTAGGTCATTTTGGTGAAAAACTCCAGGGCATGACCTAGCATATGTGGGCTTCGAATCATGGCGTCTCTTCATATAAGTATGCTTATCATTTGATTAGGATTAATGACTATGACATGACATTCATATACTCTTCAGTTAATCAATTCAGGTTTTGTTGAATCCTGGTTCAAAGATGTTTCATTCAGATATTTCTCTGTGCATCTAAACGGGCAATCAAGATTGTGAGGTGTGGTTAACAGGATTTCTTTCTCTTCAAGATATAATTGCTTTTATCCAGTCTTGGCAAGTGCTGGGGTTTTCATTTGTGCAACTAGGGTTTCACGTCAAGGGAATTCTTCTGTGATTCAGACTTTATTATCCATCTGTAATATGTTCCTTATGACACTAATTTCAAGTTGAAATAACCGATCGCTAAGGGCTGGGGATGAAATTGTGAAGCGCGATTCATGACCTAAGATATGAATTCGTGGACTTCTCCTTAACCAAGGAAATTATTGTCCTCATCATTGACATTTGTTATCTCCGATGCGAGCAGATTTGGATTGAAGTATGCTTCTCATGGAAGAATTCATGCAAAGTAATTCAAGGTTCAAGGCATTCAAGGCAGGGTTTTCTTCAACATGGCATACCTGGTTAATGGGCTTACAAGCTCTTATGAGGCCTTGAGATTCATAATCATGGGCCGAGTTCAAGATACGTGGATAAGACCTTTTGACTTCGGTTAAAGTAAGCTTTGAAAAATTAACTCTAGGTCTCCCTCGAACTTTCATCTAATATGTGTTAGGCATTCAAGTTGCATTTGAAGAATGGTATGGAAAAAGGAAAAGAAATATTAGTTCAGAAAAGGAAATTTCATTAGAAATCAGGGTTTCTATCCGTTGATAAATATTCAAGTAATTGAAGATCAGGGGAAATAAGGTTTCATATTAATCTTGATCATATTCTTTCATTATCATTTTTGTCCATCTTTGATGATTTAAGGTCGTCAATTAGGGAATGACCGTGTCTAGATAAGAGACTTATGGATTGAATCGTGGAATATGAGGCATGATACAAAAGGCGAGGTTGTGTTTTTTTTTAGGATCAAGATCTTATTGTATATTCAAATTACTTATCATACAAGTTGATTTGGATTCAAGATTGAATCTAGGAGTTCATTGAGAATGCAAGTGTGATTTGGATTTGAAGTTTGATTTGAATTCAAGATATTCGAAAATGGTTGATTGGATGAAAATTGGCAAAGAGCCTTAAGTATTGGTCATATGAGTTTCTTGGAAGGTAAAGTACAGACTGCAAGGTCTTGTTTCAAGTAGGAGTTCATCCATATTACAAAGATGTTCATCGTTATTCCAGATTCAAGTTCACATGCGTTCAAAAATTTATTCAAACCCTTTCATTCATGGTTCAAGAAAATACTATCCAATTCCATTCAATTTCATTCAAGTGTAACAATACCTTACAAGAAAATTTGATGCTCTCGTGTCTTCAAGCATTTTAAAGTTAAAGTTTCAAGATTTTGTCATTTAAACACGGTCCATAAAATTCATCACCCGACATTTCAAGCTCAAGGTCATTTACAATTCACACTATAAATTTCAAGTTCATCCAAACCAAACATTCATTCTAAAATCATTACAATCCCGTCACACTAATATTCTACAAAGAAAGAAAACTGTTAAAAAATGCATTTGAACAAAATTCCTTAGTCCTAAAGGTGCTAAAATTCCTTAGTCCTAAAGGTGCTAAAATTCCATGGGTAAACTTCCAAGTCCATTCCATGCCAAAGCTCTCCATCTTCATGTATTCTTCAATCTTCATGCCCCAAGTGAACCAACTTGTTGCATTCTTCAAACAATCGCCTGCATAAAAATCAGATGCAAACTGTAAAAATCAGTTGAAGTAATGCCTAAAACCAAGTCAGTTCGGTAGTAAAAATCCATAATAATATCTAAACCGAAGTAGTTCATCTCATGATCCAGTTAACAATACCAAAATAATTCACATCACATTATAGGGTAAATCGTGGGAACTCCTAAGAAAATCAAACTACCCTGCATATATCATAACAATAAAAAGAACAGAAAATGAAACAGTCCGATTCATTAAACTCTAACTTGAACCATGAAATTCGGAGAAAGTCTCAACAACCAGAGCATTGGAAGTGTTTACGGCTGCACACCCTCGACCACTTGTTATCTCAACTGAACTTGAAAACTATCACTGGAACTCTTCAATATAAATCCTGTTTAATACAAATTGACATTCATTTTGATTTGCTTAAAAAGTTTGAGAAGGTGGCAAGTTACATCAAGGAGAAAAAGTATGAGGTGTTTCAACGTGCACCAGATGCATGGCTGAAACCCGTGTTGCCAGACTGTAAGAGTTGCCGAAGAAAAAACAAAATGCAGCCATTAATTGAGAAGAAAAAAGAGATAAATTGGGTGTTCTTGGTGTTAATTGGGTGCTGCAATGTTAGGCATTTACACATGACAGGTGCGAGAAAATAGATTGGTATATCTAACCTATATAAGTTTATGCAAACAACTCCAAACCAAGTCTTAACTGACTATATAAAAAAAACGCTCTGCTCACGATGTCAAAAAATTTCACTCGTAACCTGCACTGAAACTGCAGACCATAAAATTGAATTTGAGAAATAAAGATATTACAAATTTTCACCGGCCTAGAGCACTGTGGTATCCCCATGATAATAAGGTGGCTGTTAAAAAAACAAGGAGATGTTATAAGTGACGATTCATCTTATGGTTTGATGGGTAGTAATACATTATCGAACAGGGGTCAAAATTGGATCCCTACACCTTCTTAGATCCTAATCGGGCCTACACAGTTTTCTTGTCCAGTTTGCTACAAAACCTTCAACAGATACAATAACATGCAGATGCATATGTGGGGATATGGATCACAATACAGAATTTTTAACTTTCCTAACTGTCGAACAAATTTTTTCTAAACAGCCCTCCAAACTGTTTTTTTTTCTAAGCTAAACTTCTAACCAAAACTTCACCAAACAGAATAATAACTAACTTCTATAACAATAACCAAAACATAATTCTGTAACTGTATTCTAACTACCTAACCAACTCCCATCTTCTAACCAATTCTCAGCAATCTATATAACAGGATCCAATTTCAGATTTACAGGATGGAGATTCTTTTTTTTAACTCTACAGAATAGATAAAAATATTAAAAAAATTTACCAATTCAGATTGATTCTGCAATTCTGCAGAAGAGTCTCCATAAACCTCTTCCTTCTTCCCTTCTTCTTCATCTTCATCTTTCAATACACTCACTCTCTTCATCTTCATCTTCATCTTCCTCGTTTCTCAATCCACCATTCTCTCTCCATTTTCATAAAATTGCAACAACTTTCTGCAGACTCAATCATCTTCCGCAAACCTTCATTCTATACCTTCTCTGCATCAACGATTCAACAACAATTTTTCATAAATTCACACATAGAGATGCATTTTTATTTTATTCAGAGAAAGACTACAAAAGAAACTTACCAAAAAACAAAATTTGTCTGGACTTTCTAAAAACTTCATCTTCACCATTCTTCATCCCCAAGAAAATCCTTTGAACTTTTGCTCTCAATCCGTCAGGGATATCTTTCTTTCTTCAATCTACGGCAACGTCTTCACCGATTCTGGACTCTTCATCAAATTTGCAAACAATCATCATTTGTGTTCATCTTCAACATACACTCATTCTTTCATCTTCAGCAATCTTATCTCAACAACTCTTGACATACTGCAACTACTGAAATACTTCTTCAATCTTCTGCTTCATCATCAACACAACTGCTCCACAGAACCATAACAACAATCACGCTTAAGAAATGGTAGAGAAGAAGAAAAGGGAAATAAAATCCTATACCTAAAGATTCAGTCGCGCCTGTTGCCATCGCGGCGGAAGTAGAGCTCGCCACCGAGAGATTATCGCGATCCAGATTTAAGAAATTTCTGAGTGAAGTTTCACTCCCTTTCCATTTGGTCGATCTGGCTCGAGGAGATTGGTGGCGGTTATGAAGGAAGAGACTCCTCCAGAAATCTCCCCACTGTATGGCAATCGAGAGCATTAAGATACGATGGAAGGAGAAACAAATTAACGGCACCGTTTTGCGTCTGAATGAAGAAGAAGGAGAGAGTAGAAGAATCATGCCGCCGCCGACATGGTTGAGAGAGAAGAGAAGGAGAAGAAAATTTCTTACGCTGAATTTGAAAAACCACAAAACCTTCTCAAACTTAATTCCTCTTTCAATTTTTTTTAATTAATTAATTTATTTATTATTTTTGACTTTCGAAAAAAAAAGAAACTAATAATGTTGATAGTTTTTTTTTATTTTTTGCTGGTGTATAATTGGACCGGGCCATCTTCTGCACTGAGCCCATGATAATCTTTTTGGAGCTAAATGGATTATGCACAAAAATTTTAATGGTTTAGTTTTGGGCCTAGCACCAGATTTCTACTGCACCTCATGCTTTTTGGCTTGCACCTTCTAGATTTACTCTCTTAGTAGTTGCTTTTAATTAATTTTTGTGGATTGTTTAGATTTTCTTGAACTTCTTTCATTACATGATAAAAATAATAAAATCAAATATAAAAATTTGTTAGATTTTATTATTTTAGGAATTAATTCATGGTTATCCGATTATTCGAAATTCGTGATTCACCTTTGCTTGTTGAGATTTGAGTCCTATGCATGTTTATTGTGCAGATGCGCTTGAGACTTCGATTGAGATTTATTTTCGCATCAATAATGCTTCGACATTTATTCTGAGCATTCAGTTTTTAACTCTTTTCTTTGAATGGTTAAGCTTTCGTGAAGATCGTCAGGTTTCGTTGCTTTTGCTTTGCTCTACGGGTTAGTACTTGTTTGGTATATTTTCTTTCTACATTCTCTCCGCATTTATCACTTCCAAGAGATCGTGGGAAGTACGATAGCACTAGGTTTAGAAATAGGATAGTCTCCCCTTGACTTCTCTTTCCCTTTTTTTTGCATATGCATTTAAAACAAAAATTCCTTTTTTTTTACAAACTTCAAAATACTAAAAAAAAATTACTGACGAGAATCATATATTTGTTAAGTATGAGAGATGATAAGCGGGTTTCTTCTCGACCTTATTATTCGCTTATTCTAAACTTTAGTATGGTTCAAGTATCAAAGACTTATTTCATGAATAAGTGGAGAAATGACTAAAGTCTCTCTCTTGAGATTAACTAGCTGTTATCTACAAGCAAAAATACCAACCAACACAAAATTCTTTTTGCCTTCGGGCCCTTTCTTTCAAAACCTTTTCAAAAGAGCATATAATTCACTTCAGTACTGACGCGTAAATCTCCAAAGGTCGAGTTGCGGCAGAAGGCGAAATTACTATCGTTCATTTAAAACACAATCAAATTTAAACTTTTTGTGTGCCCAAGCACATTTTCTCCAAACTTTTTCAAAAGAGCATGTTAATTCACTTTTGTGTTGACGCGTAAGTATCCAAAGGTCGAGTTGCGGCAGAAGGAGAAACTAATACTGTTCATTAAAAAATACAAACAAACAAAGACATGTGAGCCGAACTACGGCTTCTCTGATTCCTCAAAAGGGGATACGTAGGCATCGGGGTAGGGCCCGAACGAGCACAATTTTATTTTCCCTACATTCTTTTCTCCTTTATTTTGCATGCGTTCTCCCTTTAGCAGTAATAAACAGTAAGCATAGATTAAACACACCCATAAGATAGACAACAAGAGTGGATACAATAGAGTACTACGGGCGTGTGGGGTGCTAATACCTTCCCCTTGCGTAACAGACTCCCTTACCCGATCTCTCGGTTGCAAGACCGTGACTTCTCCCTTCTCAGGTTTTCTCGATGTTTACCTTTCCCTACATGTGGGTTAAAAGACGTTCGATGGCGACTTCATTGTTTGATGATTTTCAGCCGGTTGTTTCAGCTGGCGACTTCACTGGGGATAGGTCGACCAAATGCTGGTCCATCCCGGAGTCGCTCCTAGCTCTTGTTTTCCTTTCTTTGGGTGTTTATTTTTATGCTTTCAGTTTATTCATTCATTTTGTACATATCTGAGCATAAGTTTGCATTGCATTTTATTGCTTTCCATATTGGTTATCTATTATGCTGGATTCTGGTTTTCCATGTTGGGTGGGTGTTACTATTAAGGTAAAAGGCCCAGTACCCAGGCCAGAGTGCACTAGGACACTTAGGAATAGAGTGGGGGCATGACGGCTATAGGACGTGGTCCAATTAATGCAGTCATGTCGTATACCATGCTCGGATGAGGTTCAAATGAATTACTATCGGCACCCACGTCTGTGGGTAAGCCCATAGCACTTTCAGACGGACCTGTGATTTCAGAGTTACCATTATCTTACCCAGACCTAGTCTTCACCCGTGAGCGGGGAAGGAGTTTTCTTCACAGGTACAGTTGGTGACTATGTTCAGATGGTTACTCATGCCCAGATGGAGGCTATGATCAGACGGTGATTATTGGTTCTAATGATCATGTTCTGGATTTCTGTTGATGATGTTATTCAGATACTATATCATGTTGGTGACTATATGGTTCTCAGATTTATTTTTTGAGTTCCTGATTTGTATACTTGGATGTTCACTCAGGCCTTTGATCTTGGTATTCCCAACATATTCAGAAAATGCTCAACAATATCTGATGTTCCAGAAGCCTTGACCCCGTACAATGGGATATCTACATGGTACTTGGTTCTTATGTGCAGAAGCTGCGCCAGACCTCTAATCTGGTGATACTCGTATGGTTCAGAAGAAATGCAGCAATCATATTCAGAAATGATGAAATGATGGAACCTTGATCCCATTTGATCTCATGTCGTTGCATACATAACATGGTTAACCACATGCTTAACATACATGTTCTGAGATTTCCAAGGAATCATATTTGTGAGCCTAGTGCCAAAATTTTCCATCCTTACTTACGTAAGATCAAAATCAAAGCACGTAATTTCCTTGGAAATGATGGAACATGACATGGCATCCATTCATGTACCCCATGTATATTCATCCATAACAGGTACTCGAAGATTTGGGGATTCTTATTCAGACATGGTTCTCCTCGGAGGTTTGGCTTTGATTTCTTACTGCACTTATTCAGGGATCAGTTATGGAATAGCTCTGAGTGATATACATGCAAGCTTTGGCCCGTGGTCAGGAATTTCTTCGAATAGGAAGATATTTTATTGAAAACTCAGACGATCCAGGTCACGAAAGCTCTGAGGATGATTAATAAAGTTACTGCTGCAGCAGGTTCTCTTGTTTCCTCATCCTCTTTTGGGAATTGCTTCCAACCATGAGTGCTACGCAATCTCAAGTTCTTAGAACATCTTATCAGAAGATGGTTCCCATTTACTATGTGATCTTATATCAATGCTTCATTCTTGTTGACCAACGCCAGATGTGGTCGCCACACTGGGGCATCCAACTACTCATTCAGGGGCATTCCATAACT